TCATTTCATTAAAAACAAAATAAATTCAATATAATTAAGATACAAATCATAAATAAATGAAAGGCAGCAGAAGAAGACAGTCTTATAATATCTGCCCCTTTTTTCTCAGATAAAATCAATCAAAAATAAACTTCATTAAATCAAAACACTATATCTGCCTGTTTCTGTACATCCCACTTTTAAACTTAATCCTGGTTTCAGTTTGATGGGCCACATTTTCTTTAACACCACAGTTACAGATCTGTGCAAAAGTCTTGATCCAGCCTTCATATTTTCTGTTTTTCTTCCTGCCTGTCATCTGTGGAGGGGTCCTGGTCTTTAAAGGCTTGTGTTGCTCTTCTGCTGAAACGTGACACAAAATGAAACTAGTGTGTGTATAAATCCAAGTCCATTTCTCTGTGCATCCAGTGGACTTGTGCACAGGTGACCCCTCAGTGACAGAATCAGATCCTGCAGGTGTGGTTGTCCTCTCTGCAGGTCAGTCACATGGACACCTGCTGCAGAAGAATTAGATGTGTAGACACTCCTGAGTTAAAGGTGTAAAAACATTGGTGTTAACGCTGAGTACACGAGGAGTGATGGTGCTGGACGAGGTTCGGGTTAGAGTGCTCTGAAACTGGARTTTAAACAGGAAGTGACTCAGCTGAACATCTGGTGCTGATGCTGTGAAGACAGGATGATGTTTGAGGGGCCACAGCTGGACCCTTCAGTGTTGTTAAACATTAAATATTAAAGCAGCTCTTAAACAGGTCCTCTTCCTGTAAAGTTGCTGTTGTGCAGCCATGCAGACTGATGTTCCTTCAGGTGAACTGTGACCCTCCTGATGATCTGACCGCTCCATCTGAAGCTCAGCTGGATGAAAACAGCTTCATCTCTGAGCCTGAAGCAGCTGATGAGACAGACATTTAAAATTAATTAAAGGGATCCCTGATTAGTTGTAACATTAGACTTTATTTGATAAACATATTTTAACTGTAAAATAAAGACTAAAAATACTGTAGGCTGTTTAGGTTTTATGATTTTTAAACTAAAAGTTTAAAAATATATTTTAACACGGACGGAGCCATTTTATTTGCACACAAAGCATTCTGGGTAAATGATGACGTGGATAGGTCCTCGGTGCGAGGCTGCTAGCGAGCTATATCC